CATTGATAATGTCTGACTGGACCTCGTGTCACTTTATGTTCAATAAATTGGGCCCCGAGGTCAAAAAGGTTAAGAACCCCTGGATTAGATATTAATTCAATAAATGTTAGGAGGAAAATAAAAAAATGACTCGTTTGGGATTTTTGCCCCACATTTTGGTCAAAATGTGGACTTTTTGTTTCAGATTTAATCTAAAACGAGTCAAATTAAAAAGTGTTGACAATTAAATTCAACTGTTAGAAACCACTTTGTTGATTTCTTTACTTCTGATTAAATACAATTCTGTTTTAGTGCATTAATCTACTTCTTAGAAAACTAGTTTGATCAATAAGCAGTTTATTGTAAACACTGAAGGGTAACAGACACGAGACATGAACCTGATGTGTTTTGTTGTTGATAATGTAACTTTTGTTGTTGAAAATGTAACTTTTGTTATTGACCTGCCCAGAAGGGTCTTGAGCTCAGCAGCGRCCGGCTCCAGAGAGTACTTCTCAGGCATGAAGTTCCCGTCTGGGCGGCCCAGGTGGCTCATCAACACCACGGACTTGGCCCCGTGGTCCAGACAGTGCTGGATGCTGGGAACTGCTGCCTTTATCCTGACGATTCAAGTAAAAAGAGAAACCATCTCTTTGTTTTAATCAGTTTAAAAAACAAACCAAAACATTTTTAGATTTAATCTTTACTGTAAGAACAGAAACTTTACCTCTGGTTGTTTGTGATGTGCTTATCCTTCATGGGAACATTGAAGTCGACTCTGAAAGAGAAGAAAGGTTTTATTAAATAACCTGTGGAAGATAACAGCAGGAACTGTCATTTATTAAATTCAGCCAAACACCAGAGAGCACAGTTCTGTTTTACTACGGAACAGACAATTATTTTTTTTTCCTTTTCCAAATTAAACTAAGAATTCACTTTAACCTTTTGATGAAACGATGAAGGATGAATGTGTCTTTGGGATAGGTGGGGATTGTGGTGGTCTCACTTTGGCTTGGGAGTACCAGTAAATACAACGGCTCTAAGGGAAACAGGTTTTAACCACTGTTATAAACAATAAAATATCTGTTTTCTTTTCTCTGATCATCTTCACATACTTTGGCTTCTGAACCCAGTCCAACATGTCACTGCTGGAGTCCAGCTGGAGACTTGTGATTAGTGATGTGCAGATCGATACTGAAATATCGATACCAGAACTTTATGTTCTAGAATCGATACTAAAATCAAAGTATCAATACTTGGATACTTCAGTTATTTCACATAATGTATATATTGTAGGGGTAACCCTGGTGAAAAAAACTTTTCTATTGTTTTTTCTTTGTCTTTGATTTTGTTTTTTACACTTATAAGAAGAAAATTATTTTAAAGTGTTTTTATTTTTTTTTCTTTAAGTGAATAGGACAAAAGTCCTATATATATATATATATATAT